TTGCGCACAGTTTCCGTGAAGAGTATCGGTTCCTGAGGTATGATTGAAATGTTTTGTCGCAAATAAGACAAACTGATGGCAGAGGTGTCGATGCCGTCGATCTCTATAACACCGGACGGAGCGGTCATTCGGAACAGAGTTGTGATTACGGATGACTTTCCGGCGCCCGTCCGGCCGACTATACCCACAGTTTCGCCGCCTTTTATCTCAAGATTAATGTTATGAAGAACTGGAGAATCGCTTCCCTCGTAATGAAGGCTCACGTCTTTCATCACTATTTGTCCTTTTGATGGCCAGTCTGTGGACACAAACAGATCGTTGTTTTTATCAACAAATCAAAAGACAATTATCTGTAACCATACCTTTCGGTGGTTTGACTTCACTCTCAAATTCTCTGTCAATTCTTCGCAATTCATCGACTCTTTCAACGGATGTCATCTGAGTCTCGACTTCAGCCGACTGTCTAATACCCCACTGAAAGTTTGTCGTCAACTGAAACGCCTGCGAAAGAGTCAGTCCGATCGCGCTGCCGCTCTGAGCGTCCAAATCGCCGCTCACGAGTGCAATGGTTAGCGCTATGGTGTAAAGGAGGCAGAGCTGGTCCAATACAATACCGAACCAACGCGTGGATGTCATGAACTGGAAGTATGTGTTCGAGTGCTGGTCCTGAAGACTGTCAAACTTGGCTGAGAAGTCCTTTTCGGCACCGAATGACCGGATGGTTGTCAAGCCGTTCAACGTTGAGGCCAAGTGACTGAATGTGGGACTCCTAGCCGTGCCCTCAACTTTTTTCAGTGTCCTAATGGTTCCCAAACTGAACTGTCGGACAATTATTAAGAGCACTAATAGTACAAGAGTGGGAATAACTATCCAATAATCAACGAGAATGCAGAGCACAAGTATAGCGAAGCAATCCATTAGTATCTGAATGCTATCGAAAGCATTAGACGGAAGTAAGTCATCGATTATACCTGTCATCGGAGGTAAGAATTATGAGATAATTGTAGTCATAATTGGTTAATGAATACCTAAATCACGTGAAACCCGATTGAGAATCATTCCGATCGGGTATTTGTCAAAGAAAGCGATCGGAGCTCTGATTACGGACTCTAACAGACGGTTATGTAATGTCACCGAAGATCTCATACAGACTGTGAAGAATGTGACGGTTCTTACGATACATAACACAAACACAATCACTACGAGTGAGCTATAGATATAAATATTATGGTTTTCTTCGT